GCATCAACTTGTTGGATTGTCTATCACAGGACTCCACCTCAGAGTCCAGCTTTCATTAAGCTCCATCTCACTTCTGTCACCAGCTTTCAGACCATGTCCTGAGGCAGTATCTGACCAGTCTGGTAATAGAAAGATAAGGCACCCAGTCACTAGGGCGTTTTAAGGGAGCATAGATATCACATGATAACTATTGAATGAAAATGTTTACAGAAAAATAGTTTTGTAAAACAGCTCAGACTAAGCTGTGGCTGAGGGTTGAGCTCAAGCTATATAAGCCAAAAAATGCAGCTGTATCTTTTCTAGCTACAGCTAGAAACAGCTAAGTGTACTGGAAAAACCCTGGGGGGGGGGGGTGTGCAGAGACGTACTCTCTTAACAGGGGATTACACCTAAAAGCAAGCATGAACATGTTTTCTGCTCTGTTTTGTCTATACCTGTAATAACACAAGGAAAGTGATAGCTGTGATTTGTGCTTTAATTGTTGAATGACAGTGCTTTCACTTGATTCTGACATCTGCTGCAGTAATTATCGTAATAACAACTCTAGTCAGAACCTGGACTTTGGAGCGATACCCCAGTCAAATATTACAGCCTCAGCTTTACAAACAGAAAAACTGAGGCAGAAAGGGGTGAGGTCATGCAGCTTGTTTATGCAGACAGTTAATTGCACATGCTTTAATGTACCTTGTGACCTAAAAAGTTATAGGGAATATCACTAGAGGAACTTGGATTATTATTAGTAATTTTTGTGGGCCTTCATGTTTTTGTCGGCAAATTTGTAACTACAACTTTTGCCTTTTTCCACATCTTGCAGATTTTTGTTTATTTATTTTTAATTCTCTTGTCCTGTCCTTGGAAGAAGCCAAGGCATTTCTGTGGAAAAGCTGGGGTCTACTGAGGGCCCAGGTCAAGAAGTCTGTCTTGGGTGTCATCTCCTCTGAACTCAGAAACAAGCAACAGTTCAAAAGAGGTCTTAGTTTGGAGAGTAGCAAGGTCATCGGGACACAGCCTTCTGGTAAAGGACTGCGAGATGTGAGGCTGGAGCAGAGGTATCAGAAAGGGCCTATGGAAAAGGCTGGCAGGTTTGACAGTCCAGCCTGATGTGCCTTTGAAGCAGAGCAAACAGGCATTCCAGTGCTAGCAGAAAAGTGTGCCAACATTGATAAAGGTTGATTTGCAGAAGATTGACCGTTCTGTGCAATTGCCTTACTCTGGAACCAAGGTCTTCTACTGTAAGGCTGTTGCATTTTCCTTCTAGGCTTAAATACCCTAGCACTAACTTTTCCACCTGGTCTTAAGTGTAGTTTGGGGCTTGTGTCTTTGGTATTAACAAGGTAATACAGAGACTTAAAGGTGGCATACTCAACTCCTAGGTAATCAGTCTCATTATGAGATATTGTTACTCTGGGAAGGTTATGTTTCTGTCTTAATTTTGTCTAGAAATGCACTCCAAGAAATGAGAGATGTTTCCTTTTACAACTAATGCTTGTGCTTTCACCAAAGAGCTGTACTTATGAATTGACATATTCTGAGAAAAAGTTTTGCTTAGAAGTTCCTGCGTATTTCTTTGAGAAATAATTGGAATCACTTACTAAGTATAATCACTTAAAAGTGGAAAAAAGTTCCACTTTCAGGAGAGGACAGTCAGCATTTCCCAAATCATTCTTCTCTTTGTGCCCATGAAAATGGCCACTTGAAATCACTGCCTTGAATCTCTTGAAATCACTGACATAGGTCTTACAAGAACTTGGGTCTCATTCTTAACCCAGACAAGCATTAGAGAAAACTGTACTTCTACAAACTACACAATTCAGCCTACCTAAACAGAGAAGTTTTCCAGCCTTTACAGATTCACCCATGACAAAGCAAAACACCTTCCAAGCCTGGCTGAATTTACACAACTAAATAAATCACTTTTAAAGTGTTTAAATGTCATTGTGAGAGTGAAAAGATGAAATGTGCTGTATATCATCTCTACAAAACCAGAAGTATATTATATTATAAATAAACAGAGTTTGCTTGGTATTAGGGACATAGGAAATTCCATTCAAGAACAGACAAATGGCACATCTTGTCTGGTATCCTGCATCTGGCACAGGCCTATAACAGATGCTTAAAATACTTGGCTCTGTTGGTCCCACAGCCTCCCCTGTCCCACCTACCACCAATGTTATAAATCACTCAGTTTTCCTAACCTCTGGTGAGAGTCTCTTTCCTGCTCACTTGTATAATATGGGAGGTGGAAGCACAGGCCAGGGGAATACTTATCCACAGTGGCTGGTACTGAATTTGTCTGAACTGTGGTTCTGACTGTTTCAGAACATAAATGGTATTACTGCCTGTATTGCCTGTGTAGCCAAACAAAGCAACACATAGGTGAGGACTATGCTTAGCTCCAGAGAAAGGGGGAAATAAACCCCTTCTCACCCTCATTTGCACATAGCCAGCAAGTGTAACTACCACTAGCCTATTATTAATCAGCTGCCCTCTTTCTATCAAGGCACTGCCACCTAATGCTCCCTACTACTCAATGACATATATATCCTGGTGTGGCTTTCTTAGTAACTTCTATAGTTTAATGCATGATGACTGAAAATTAAATGAGTTTATTGTCTATTAAGAAGAGTTCACTTTTGTCCTTATTCCAGAGGTTATCAAAACACGGTTCATCTACCCAAGCAGGACACATAATGCAGGTTCTCCTCTTTAGTTGCCTGGTGCTTATAGCCATTTTTGCTAGTGTGATATGCCTGCACCCAACAAAACTTTCTCCCTTACTAGAAATGTACTTCCCACAGACCATATCCCTTTATTTTCTACAATCTCATTCATAACCAACATGAAATTCAATTCAATGGCACAATCTGTTAAGGGCCTCTAAAACAGACAAATGAAAAATCCAAACCTTTCCATTTGAAAAGTTAAAGTTTTAAAACCCCTTTATATTAATTACATTACACCCTCCTTGTATTCCCCTATGAAATACAACAGGATTTTTAAAAGGCTAAAGAGAACTTATGACTATAGGTAACTACCACATCAGGTCCTTTCACATGTCATCTTCCAGAAACAACAGAAAGAGAAGGGTAGCTACAGATATTATGACACGTCATGTCTAAGCTATATTGTTAAAAAATTTAATTTGAAGGAAAAAAGTTAGTGTCCCTCAGTTTGAGCATATTATCTCTACAGTAGCTGAATGCTCTTAGGGAATGACCTAATAAATCTTTACATATTAGTAAGGGGAAGCTGAATCCTGATGGTGTGCCTCAGCTGTCAGATATAGTTTCAGATGTCAGCTTTGTCCATGCTCAAGGATTTTTCTGATTTTGGTTCCATCCTACTGAATATAACATTGTGTCAAAGGTCCAAATCTAGAGAAGACCTTGGATCTAGCTACCCCAAATTTGTATCCACAAAGAACAAGGCTTTGCAGTATCAATCTGCTTGAAAGAATGGACACATTAAAGCTACTACAGTACCTTGTAGAAGTTTGCATCCTTTAACATATTCCAAATCAACCATACATTGAGGGATGGCCAGGCTCAATATTAGCAGGAGCTCTATGACTTTCTGCACTTCTCTCCTGTTGTACAAGAGGAATGACTTTCAGAATATCCATCTTATTTCAGTCAGGAACAGAAGTAGAGGTTTTTCAAGGCAGACAAATGAGTCAGCCACTTGTTCCAAATAAATAGAAATGGTGTTCCAAGTTTCCTAGACAGCCTTAAAAACTACATAGAGCAATTCAGCAGCTTAATATATTGTGTTCTACACCTCACATTTAAGAGGACGCAAAATCACATTCTTTTTATTCCAGATAACAGTTGGTTTACCCACAGCAGTTCAAAGCAATCTCATTTTGTCTCTGTCCTTGAAATACATGCTACTCATCTTGCTTATGCCATTCCCAAAAACAAAAGTAGCACTCTTCAGAGTAAAGAGCAGCAGCTGAGGTTCCCAGACTGCCACAGGTATCCTAAATAATACTGAACTAAGTGTCTTAATCTCCGTGATTGCATTTGCCCATTTGTATAACGAGGGTGTTAATATTTTGCTTTCTGAGGAGGAATATTGTAAACCTTAATTAATATATCAGTGACAAAAAAGGCATGAGTTACAACTTTAACTGTACTGTAAAATAAAACACCTATGTGGATAATTATAAGGAGATATATAAAACTATAAAAATAATTTCTTTACTGCAAACCTTGCCTTAACAAGAAACATAACTCCTTCCTCCCTCAAGAAAGCTAAATACACTGACTCATGTCTTTGTTTAAGCGTCATGGTAAATTTGTTCTTTTATAATGTGTAGTAGTTTAGCTTTGAACTTTTGATTTTTGGAAAAGGCAGAGCGGAAAAATGTTTTCATGGGAGAGGAGTGCACATTCCAGAGCTGTCGACTGTTACTCATTTATGAGGGGAGAATAAAAAAAAAACACAACCTACTTAGGTTTTAGGCTTTAGTTGATGCAATTTGTTGTTGTCTGGTATTGTGTGATAAACCAAAGATTTACACTGTACAGTGAAATATTTCCATTTTCTCTCTCATTTTTCCAGCTTTTGCTTGTTCAAAACTCTGAACAAGCTTGAAACTGACTGCCATTGAGGAGAGAAAAGTTAGCTTTGTACAAACAGAAATAGTGATCCTCTGTAATATACAAAGTAGTCCAAAGATAAAATAACTCACAGTTTACTGTGAATTATAACGCTACACACAAGCATGATGTGGGAATGCAGACAATATTACTCATAAAAACGTGATCCCTTCATGGTGTCTTTGTAACCCAAGCAACATTTTTAAACACAATTTTCCTGTGCTGTTTCATGTTTATTTAATGTATTAACATTTGATTACATAAACAAATTATTAAAATAGGAAAATAAAATAAACTTTATGCAGCTTATTTATTCAGTAAAATAAAAAAATATTTCTCTGCTGTCCTGCATAATCTGAAGAATTTTAATGTACATGCTTTCTTTCCTTCTCTTTCTAGAAAGAGAAGAAAATGCAGATTGTCAGAATCCTTCAAATTTGATACTCAGCACTGTTGTGATCTCTTCATTACTGGACGTTAAGTCTGGATATCAGAACTGGTTCAGTGAAGTACTCTCCTATTAAGTTGAGGTAATTTTCTTCCTAACAATTCAATTGTTTAAAGCATTACAAAAGGTGTCCTCCCACCCCCCTATTCCCTGCTAATAAAAACATTTCTGGGCAGGACATTATACTGTGCAATATAGCATCAGCTGACGTGAAAGACATGAGAACTGATGCTTTTGCTAACAGGCAGGGAGATCCAGGCGCCATTTATTAATAAATAATGTGTTCTTGCTAAATTTATAAGATGACCACACTGAATTGGGTTTGGAAAGCAATTGCAAGTGTCAGCTCCTTTCCCTTTATAGAAGGAATAGTGACATGATAGATGCAACATCCTGGATTCATGGCCTGTTAAAAGACTACTGTACAACCATTATGGATATGTCAGAGACTGCATTCTTTGCTGCACTGGCATTAAGAGCTAAAGTCATTGAGGATAGAGAGCATAATTAATGAAAAAGTCTAATGCTGAAACAATGCAATTAACAAGTCTTTCAAAGTTTCATTTCCTGGGGGAAATTATTGCCATTGAAAAGGATCTATCTTGTAAAAAATCTTAACAAAGGCTAGAAACTACATGAAAATACCAGCCCCAAGCCAGAGATGAGGAGAGAACTTCTTAATTCACAAAGCCAGAAGATGTCAGGGTATTATTCTGAGAGAGGGAGGCTTTGCCAAGGTCATCAACTGCTTTTCAGACACACATTGAGATATGTTTCTACTTAGTGTGATGGGCATCCATACAGTAGGTTATTTCATAAATATTGTTCACTCAGCATGAAAAACTGCATTTATGAAGGCCTACCAGTCACTGGTTAATAGTGTTATGTCTTCCTTCAAGAACAGAACTGCACAAATTGCAGGCCTGATGTAGTCACAGTATGTTATAGGAACGTGTAATTTAGGATGCAGATGGGAAGGCAGTCAGTTGCAGAACTGTATTCCAAAAGAAAAAAAAGCAGGTGGCTCTGAGGCTGGCCACTGCCCCATAAGGATGTGGAGATGCAATTAATTTCAAAACTAAGGTACACAGAAAACATTTTCAGAAAGTTTTCTGCCCTCACACAGCTTTAATATATCCCCTCATTTCTTGGTATATCATTAATCAAGCTACTGTCAGTTTTCTCTCCGTCGCCCTAATAGAATTGCACATCTTTCACGGTATGTTAACCTGAATCTTAAAGAAGCTGCAGTTTTATTTTGTAGCTTCCTCTTCTCCCCAGTTAAAAAAAAAGCTTCTAGAAATACACACCAATACTGAATCAGAAAAACATGGTTAATGTAATAAATCTTATCTAAAGCAATTAATTCAAGTGGGTTATTGTATAATCACGATGGCAGGCAAGAGGAAAAGAAAAAAATAAATACAGAGATAGGTGCACAGGAAGATCAGTTAGGGGATAGATATATTCTTATTATTATATCTAACAAAGCTACCTCAGGCTCCACATTTGCTTTTGAAGTAATGGAATTCTGTTACAAGACAGTAACCAACGTGGCACATAATTCTTTAAGGTCATTTAAAGCCTGCCTGTTAAACAAACATTACTCTGATTCCTCCCCACCCCCCTTTCCCCCCCCAAGGATTCATAATATTTCCTGTATACTTTCAGCAATTTTTGTCCTATCTGTCTCCTAAACTATCATTCTGAACCACTGAGAAATTGTTTGCCTAAAACCAGAACTCTGTTTTCAATACCTTTCTGTTATTAATATTCCTTAAGTTACACTTCAGCTTCCAATCAAGGTTTGCTGCAACAGTTTCTCTTTTGAGGCAAGTCCACTGTAGGGTACCTTGGATCTCAGCTAGAATGCACAGTATGTCATGTGAACAGTAAAAAACAATATAGCTCAACTTTCCCAAAGTAGGTTGAATCAGGAGTTTTAAGGATAATCAAAACCATATTTTTACTAGCAAGCAGAGCCAATAAGTCATTGAAGCTATGTAAATATATTCATACCCACATTGCACTTCATTATAAAAAGAATCTCACACCCAGGAACACAAAAATTCTTTCTGTGGAATACTGAATAATTGTGGAACAAATAATAAATGGAAGAATACACTGATCTTTGCATGAGAATTGCATCATAAAAAGGATCCCAGTAAAACAAGCTGAATCTTCAGACTTTTATAAGCTTTTTATGACTTTTTTAGCAGACATTGGAAAACTTGAAGGACTTTGTACAGAGCAGTATTATTTACAGGAGAAGTATTTATTGCTTACATTCTTTAAGTGAAATTTATGTATGATTTCATACACAAATACATGTAAGCATGCAAGTGTATGTATGTTTTTAGCAAAGTCTGTTACTAAATATTTTGGACCAGCTTACAGTCTTCAGTAATGCCAATAGATAGGTCCTAGTCAGTTTAATATTTTATGTCAGCAAGTTATTCTACATGTGAGAATACATCTGTGTAAATGCAATAGTATATTTCTTATAGATGTTATTTATGTGTATGTGTCTTTACATGACTTGTGTCTAGACCCAATCTGGATTTAGCCTGCTGTCACTGACAACAGAATATAAATCTTTGCATGTTTCCTCTCGTTGAACTATTTTTTTTCTTTTTTTTTTTTTTTAAATATTGGCTTTCTTTACACTGCTAACTACAAAGGCTGATTTATCAATATTAGTGGAAGTTATCTGAACAGCAGCCAACATAGAACACAGAGTCAATAGCAATGATTCATAGCATTTTTTAGTTTGTTGTGGGTTTTTTTTAATGCTTAGAGCCCATATAGGCAAGAAACTATTTCCCATACTGCGAGATGGAAATATTGCTCACCCCTTTGTAGAATATAAAGCTGAGAAGTGAAACTGAAGCGATTTAGTCAAAACTAAACACTTTCCTCATCTCAGAAAGGTAGCACTGTGCAGTTCAGCCCAATTGTGGCTACCTGAAAAAGGGAAGAAATTGAGCACCTATGCCTGAAATCACACATTTTTAAGTTGTTCTAACCACAGCATAGGCACAGCTAAACTGAATGATTTCACCATCCTGAGTTATTTCCCACGTTCCTTTGTTTCTCCAGTAATGTAAAAAAATGCAGGAACTGGGAAGTCATATGATCTGCAGGAAAGAGAATATTGTGGTTTCTAAGAAAAATATTTATTACCAAGCAAGCTATTTTGATTTATTAAATGATAGCTTCCCATCATAGTGTTTTTTGATATGGTGCTTGAAACCACAATCGTTGTATAAAGCCAGGACTTTATTTGTTTAAAGGCATCCACTAGTGTTTTTCTTAATAGAAATATCAGTTCACGACAATGCCAGGTTCATAGAAGCTCATCCAGGAATAAACTCTTGAAAAAAAGTTTTTTTCCTAGAGTGTCCATTAAGCCAGTGCAGGCACCATGTCTCACTGCTAGTCTTCTAACATTAGATTTATAGGATGTTATAATTAACAACAGGTGATGGGCAGTACTACATGCACAGCAAGCTAAGTAAAAAGACTGGCAGCTCAAGAGCCACTTGTGAATCATCAAAACTTTTCCCTGGATAAACTCAGTAGTAAGCCTGGTAGGCTTTCTGGCAGTTGTTTGGATTGGGGGTTTTTTGGTTTGTTTGTTGGGTTTTGGGGTTTTGTTGTTGTTGTTGTTTTAAATTCCACCACCCACCCCCTCTTTCTCTTTTTCATGTCAAAGATTAGGGACCATCTGTCTGTTTTTACAGTTATGTAGCTTTTCTGCTTCTATGTTTATCTGTCTATAAAATGAGACAAATTATTCTTCCCTACTCAGAGAGGACTTCTTGGAGGATTACAGACAAGTCCACAGACAACATTTTTAAATTATGCAGATTTTTAAGAGACACTTGTGTCTTTGTTATTCCAGCTCTCTCAAATTCTCATTCTGTACAAATAACACAAAAGAAAAGGTTCAAAACATATACAGCCTCCACATCAATTTTAAGAAAAGCAGTTCTTTAGCTTAGGACTGAAAAGGAGGGAGGAAGACACTGAAAAACATGTATCAGCAAAACAAAAATATGTCCCAAATGAGTTTTCATTTGCGTAGTTAAACAAATACCTTTTTTTTTTCTTCTGCCATTGTGAGAATACAAGTGAGGCAAGGTATGTTGGAAAAGGCAATGGTTTTCTTTAACCAAGTGAACAAGGACTTGTATCCCAAATCTACCAATAGATCCAACTTCTGTGAATCATTTCCAATGTACTAACCTGATGTGATCATGATATTCACAAGTTAATTTCATGTCATAACATAATGATTATAACAAATGAGTATTTTTTTAAATAAAAAAACACTTCTGTTTTGGATAATTGGCTACATATCCTCATTGACATTAGTAAATACTTTAAATGTATTAACTGGTAGGAAGATGTAAATAGGAATGCTCAAAGGAAAAAAAATTTTTAAAAAATCAGTATTTGTACTATAGAAAGGACTGGAGATTTTTTATGGATACATCCCATACTCTTGCCAATATAGTTCCCTGAGTTCTTCTACCAATTACCTTGATACATTAAATTAATTTATACTAAAGCCCTTTCAGACTGTTTCTTCCCTCCTTTTATCCACCCCAAAATATACTTGAATCAGTAACCTTACAGTTCTTAGCATTACTATATTAGAGACCAATGACTACTATTCTAGCTTTATGTTACCAGGCTGCCAACAGGAACACATGGTGCTAAAAGCTTGAGTTCTTACAGTGTAGTGAGCTAACATGCTCTGAGAACTCTCTTCACATTGACTGTGGAAAAACATGTTCATTTTTTCCTGAGCTTATGGGATTACTGTAGGGCTGGACTGGATATTAGTACCCGAGAGAACCTGGGCTGTGATGACACTATATAGCTTTGCATATACTAACACATATACATGCACTTCTATAACAGAAAGTGATCAGTTTTAATGCCTGTCCTTTGCTTGTGATTGTACAATTGGATCACTTGTCTCAAATCCACCAGTGAACATTAAATTGTACGTTTAGTCAGCACAACCCAAACCAGTACTAATTTTTTAGGTAACATTGTGTTAACTTCATTGTG